AATGTAGGCAATTCTCTGATTCTCTGACTCCACAATTCATCTCTGACCAACAGCGTTCCCCTGGGAATGGCAACACTGAGCTCGGAGTTAAAAATACATTTGGAAGCAGCCCCACAACGTTTATATGAAGAATGCTCTTTCTAAATGGCATCATCATTAAGTAAGTCTTAATACCAACGTCACCCGCTGCAGATGCCACCATCTCTGCGCTCCAGCCGAACCCAAACACTTCCATTAAGGCCTCTCCATACAAGAGGGATTATCATGTGCCACTTAAAGCACTTTATTTCAGAAACTCTGACAACTGTAAAGCAAAGAGTGTCTGAGGAGAGAGAGCTGCACGAGCCCAGGCGAGGGTGGATCCATGGGGCAGACTGAAAATCAGGAACCCAAGAGAGCTGGATGGTGAGGTGCAAGGCAGCACCCCCCTGTGTGAAGTGGAACCAAAACCTCAAACTAAGGGATGTTTTGGATAAAAACCTTTTCCCACCCGGACCCTAAGAAACAGCTCTGCTGGTCTGCAGGCAGCCCTGACCACGCACTTCCAGTGACCGAGTTCAAATACTCTTTCTTCTAATGGGAAAAGACCCTCCAACATTTCCACCTATTTAAAAGCAACCCACTGATGTAAAGCTCCTCACAGACCGACAAATGTGAGTTTCCCAATAAACACCAGAGCTCTAGGTTACCTTCTGGCCACCCAGCCACCAACAGAAACCCCACATCCTCACGTGGAGATGCTGGGCAAGGCCATCAGGAGCTTTTCCGGAGGAAAAGTGGTGACAAACCCAGGCTGTCCCAAAGACACGGTGGGCAGGAGGCTCAGGAGGTGCTCCCCATGGCCATGCCAACACCCAACCTCACTGGGGGACGGTGGCCACCACGGCCACCAGCTCGGTGCCTGCAGGAACTGGAAGCCCCATTGCAAACCCCCCAGCCAGGGTCTGGGCAGGCACTTTGCAAACGATGCTCTGAAGCAACTCAGGGCAGCAACTAAAATAGTTATGAAGAAAAAGGAGAAGTTTTCCTACAGTCTCTGTGCTTGAGGCACTGAACTGAAGAGGAAGGGGGGGTTCAGGAGGCAGGTCTCTGCCCGCTCACAGCACGTGGAGGAGCCACAGTGTTGCTCCAGGTCACCCTCGCTGCTGCTCTTCGAACTGAAGAGGAAGGGGGGGTTTGGAAGGAGGCAGGAGGCAGATCTCTGCCTGCTCACAGCACGTGGAGGAGCCACAGAGTTGCTCCAGGTCACCCTCGCTGCTGCTCTTTGCTAAAAATAAGGAGAGAGACCCCGAGAGCGTAACTAAGTATTCATATTGCCTATATACTTGAATTAAAAATATATGGTGAATAAATGTGTGTATACAGCACTTACTACATATATATATACATGCACACACAGAGCATGTGCCTAAAGTATACACACATGTACTCACACAGTATATATTAACCTATATTGCTCAAGTATATATGCTATGTACAGTATACAGCCATACAAACATAAAACACAGGTATTTCTATATATAAGTGTACAATAGAGACACACTAAGTATTTCTATAGAAACACTATACAGTTATATGAACACACGCACACACTTGCACAGGAGAAAGGAATTTGCAGCCAAAATCTAACCAGGGTGGGGGGGAAAAAAAGACAAAAATCTACGTCATAACACATTCAACGTGAGAAAAGTTGAGGTTTCTAAGAAAACAAAGGCCTCGGAGACACAGGGAGTGTGCAGGAGGGTGGTGTTCTCCTCCCCTGCCCACCCCTCCTTGCGGGGCTGGGAAGGCTGTTTGCATTTGGCTGTTTGGTGAGTTTTTGTGCAAGGAGGGGAACCCTGGGGACACGGAGAGGGTCTGACAGCGTTGGGGTGACCCCTGCTGAGCTGGGGGGACACTCGGGGGGCACACAGGTACCCCGGGCTTCCCACCATGTCCCACTAAGACCCGTTCCTCCTTTCATCCACACGGCGTCAAACAGCACGATGCCAGGGATGCTCAGAGACATGAGTATCATAAGGCATTTAAAACAAAAAGAGAAAAAAAACCCTTCAATTTTTTCCCCACCCCAAAGGCCAGGTGCCAGGAGAGCGGAGCTGTTGAGCAGCTTCAAGAGTCACAGCTTGGGCTCATTAAACACTGGGGGGATATATTATTATTATTACTATTAATTTTTTTTAGAGCTGTTGAGCAGCTTCAAGAGCCACAGCTTGGGCTCATTAAACACTGGGGTGACATATTATTATTATTACTATTAATTTTTTTTTTTAACAAAGCCCCTACAGACCCCTTCCTGCCTTCTCCAGGCAAGGGCTCACGAGCAACACCACTGCACAAGCTTGCACCCATCCTGCCCACATCCCTCCCCAGGGCTCTGGTGCAAGGTTCAACCAATTCTGGCTAAATTCAGAGTTAGCTCAGTTCCCACCAGCAAAAAGACGTGGGAAACACTAAAGGAAAAGCATCAAACTACCCCAAGCTGTCTGAAACAATCTTCTTTCTTCTCAGGACAAAATGAGAGAGGGATTAAGAAGGTGAAGCTGAGGATGCTGGCAGAGACAGAGCATCCCTCAATGGCATTTCACACCTTGTGAAATTTTCAGGCTAACCTTCTCACGCCGGGACACCAACCTGCTTTGTGAAGTTTTGAAACACCCCAAAAAATGTCAAATGATTTCGCAAATTAAAGGCTGATTCCCTCGTGGGAAAAAAGTGGAAAATTGAAATTAAGAAATCAACCTCTAAAATAGCCTGAGTGCAAAGTTAGAAAAAAAAATAAAAATAATTAAAACCTATTTTTTCTCTGTTTCTCTTAAGGCTCAGTAAGTTGATGCTTGTTTCAAGTAATTCCTTACCGTACACGCCGTGGTCCCTGGCGAGCAGCACGAGCACAGGCAGAGAGCAACACACGCTGCTCTCCCACGTGGAAAGGGGCTAAATCACCATTTTCCAAGGGCTGAAACAACCCAGGAAGCACAAAGAAGACCTCATCCCGGTGACATCGTCCAGGCACAGAGGGAAAGCTCGGGCTCAGCCGATGAGAAGCCTGGCTGGCACCCACCTCAGCGGCTGGCAACCAGAGTGATGGTGTCCCTCTCCAAAAATACCCTGTGCAGGCCAACAAACACCCCCGTCCGCCATCCCAAGGAGAAACCCTTCAATGATTTTCAACAATGAAGTGGGGAAAGCTATCAAACACCCTGTCTCATCCTTAGCTCAGCGTATCACCATCAACCCCCCTGCAGCTCCCCATAAAACACCTCCGAGAGCTTTTAATCACAGCCCCGCGCAGCCTGTGCTGGGGAGAACAAAGCAGCTTTCCGAGCAACCACCCAGAGATGCGTGGAGTCACACCAGGAATAAACCTTTACTCCAGAAATCTGGGGCAAATATCACCTATCATGGGGCAAATCCGAAATCCCAGGTAAAGGAACAGCAAAACATAGCATTGGGTGGAGTATTAAACACATGCCCAAGTGTTCCTCAGGAGGGATGCTCTGAGGGAGGGCCTACAAAGGGGAGTTGCCCACCCTCTTCCCGGGGGTGCTCTGATTCCACACAACATCCCACCCATGGAAAAAATCAGAAAGATTTGGAACTTAATGCCTGGGTCCAGCAGCACGAGAAACCACTCATTTGTTAAGTTTGTTAAGCTCAGCCCCCCCCAGCCCCGCGAAGGGAGAACTGAAAGGCAAGCGGTGACCAATGTGTGTGTGTGTCTGCACGCCCTACACACCAGTATAAACCTGTTTGAGTGTCCAGCACACCAGTATAAACTATGCCCGTGGTATGATCTCAGGTGTTTGCTTCCTGCCTCCAGATTAATGCAAAATCCCAGCTCACATCTGCCAGGCGCAGCCCCAGGAACCCCGAGCTGGAGGCTGTCTCTGAAGCAAAGCTGGAAAGCCCTCGTTAAAACTCTAGGACCTGCGATTTCTTCATGTCAAAAAATGAAACGGGAAGAAATCTAGAAATGCAAGATACACCTGGGCTCCTGAACACAAAAGCAGAGTCCTCTGCGGATGCCTTCTCCTTTCCACCACCCCTCACCACGTGGCCACAGCACGGTGCAGATCCCTGGCACCTACGCCTTGGGTGACACTTGCTCCCATGGCACCGGTCCCTGCTGTCCTCCACGGTGCTGGGAGAGGTCACAGGGACACAGCTTTGGCTCCAGCCAGGAGTGAACACACTCCTGCTGCCCCACAGGAAAAGCCCACGTCACCTTCCCGCAATGGGACCAGAAGGAAACACCTCAGGTTTCATGCACTTTCAGCACCGTTCTGCTTTTTGAAGGGCTGCCCACCCAACCCAATGGGAAAACCCTGGGAGAGAGATCCCCATCCGGCAGTGATTCCCACCTTAGTGATGAAGGAGCTGATGAAAAACTCCAGGAGAGACCCAAAAGGGCTTAGGGAACTCTCCTGGCCCTGGTGGGGACAACCGCTGTGGCTCTTGGCCAAGGTGGCCTGGGATGTGCAGGAGCAGATACCCAGGGACCCCAGGCAATCCTTTGTGTCCCCGTGAACGTGTACAAAGAGGATGGGAAAAAGCCCGCAGGGACAGGAGAAAAGGTGCCTCCCTCCTCCTGCTGGCTCTGGGGGACAAGGGCTTGGGGATGGCTCTGATGTGGGGGTGAGGGACCAGCAGCTGCCCTGGAGCAGGAGACACGGCAGGAGGACACTGGGGGCAGTGGGAGGGAGACTGGGGAAAACTGAGCTAAAATGGTGAAGTTTCAATGCAGACAGAAGTCTCGGTGACACCAAGGTGGTGGGACAGAGCAACGCTCCCCTGCCCAGGCTTTCCCAGAGCAGCCAGGCTTTGACCATGGGGAGAAAGGGAAAAGGGGAAAAGTCAAACCACTGGACATTCCCCCCCCAATTTTTCCAATGCCAAACAGTTTTGTCAGGGAAAAGAGAACCCGATTCCCACCCAATCTCAACGTACGCCAACGACGGACAGTCCTCAGAAAGCCTGATGGGAGGGAGACCAGCCAGCACTGTGCGACGTCTTTTCCGTTTAATTCCACATTTCAATTCCTTTCAGGGTTCTCGGGGCTCTCTCTGAGCACACATCCCCCTCCGTCCCCGCCGCGCCGCCCAGCTCTGGGCACAGATCCCGCTCTTTGGGGAGACACCGGTGTCCCTGGGCAGCTCCTCCTTCCACACCGAGAACAGGGGGCAGGTGACACCTCACCTCGGAGCTGAACGTCAGGAAACCGCCTGGACTCCTGCGCCTCCTGCCCCTCACTCATAAATTTAATAAAATAACAATAATAATAATAATAATAATAATTAAAACAAAGGCTTATTGGAGCTGTTTTCTGCTCAACTTTCCACAGTCTCTTTCCATGTCACTCTCTGGAATCAGATTTTTCAAGAAATACTGTGAGAAAAAAAGAATAATAATAATAATTATAATAATAATAATAATTATAATAATAAAAAGCATCTGGAACCAGCTCAGAAGATTTCTAATGCTTTTCAGCTTGACTGACTTGGAGTGCATTGACCACACCGTTTATATTTTCTTCAGGTACCTGCAAGAAAACAAAAAGAAAGGTCTCGGTCAGCAAAAGCAGGGGAGGGACAACAAGGAAAGGAGAAGCAGGAGACAAAACCAGAACAATCCCAAGGAGCCAGGTATTTTGCTGTTGGACACCTGAGCTCCCCTGAGAAAGGACTCTGTCTACAAGAGACACCCTCCGGTTCAAAAGCCTTAACCCATGGCTGCCCCAGGAGCAAGCACTGTGAGATCTACCTGTTTTGCTGTCCATATGGTGCCTGCTGGTGGGGAGGCAACTGTTTGGGGGTTTTCCTTTCCTTCTCCTCTTCCTCTCTGCTCCTTTCTCTCCCTTTTTTTGGTAAAGCATTTCTACGCCGGGAGCTCACCCATGCGAGGTGCCTGTGCTGATGGATTTATGTGGCTGCCTAAGGGCCCCATGAGGCTCTCCAGTGCATCCTACAAGTTGGAGACCTCACCTGGAATACTGTGTCCAGCTCTGGAGCCTCAGACATAAGAAGGACATGGAGCTGTTGGAGTGGGTGCAGAGGAGGCCACAAAGATGCTGGGAGGGCTGGAGCCCCTCTGCTGCGAGGACAGGCTGAGAGAGTTGAGGGGGTTCAACCTGGAGAAGAGAAGGCTCCAGGGCGACCTTAGAGCCCCTTCCAGTCCCTAGAGGGGCTCCAGGAAAGCTGGGGAGGGACTCTTTATGAGGGACTGGAGCCTTAGGATGAGGGGGAACCGTTTAAACTGAAAGAGGGGAGATTAAAACTAGATACTAAGAAGAAATTCTTTGGTGTGAGGGTGGTGAGAGCCTGGCCCAGGTTGCCCAGAGAAGCTGTGGCTGCCCCATCCCTGGAGGGGTCCAAAACCAGGTTGAACGGGACTTTGAGCAACCTGGTCTGGTGGCAGGTGTCCCTGCTCAGGGCAGGGGGTGGAACTAGAAGATCTTTAAGGTCCCTTCAAAAGTATCCTAGGATTCTATGAAGTCCATATACAAAATTATCAGTGGGTGTCTTTTCAGGCTTACTGCAAGAAAACCCCCTTGTAACAGAAGACGCAAAAGATCTCAGAGCAACTGTCACCAGTAGAAAAGAATATCACAAGCAAAGTTACAGAAAACAGGCGTCTGACCCTTACATAAACTCAGAGACGACCCTCAGGGGATGGGCAGCTCACAGCTCTTGGAAAGTGGAAAGGGGACTGAGGGAAAAATAAATTATCTGTGAGCTGCTGCAAGAAGCCAAAATAATTCGTGTCGAAGTTGAAGAAGGGACCGTCTCCTCTGGGAGGTATTTGAGTCCTTGGCCAGGAGCACAATACCTGGATTCACTGGACACCCTCCAGAGCTCAGACAGTGAAACACCACTGGACTGTGATTTTTCTGCAGAGCTTTTCACGAAACTGAGGAAAAAAACCCCATGAGAAATAACAAGAAAAACATTCAATTTTGCAGTGGGAAGATGGAATAGGAGTGGCAAACTGTGATGATGTGTGAACAAAAGTCAGCTGGGAAAGGAAGAAAATCCTCTTAAAACACACAGCAAATTTGTCTGGGTTAGGAAGAAAACCCCAGCAAACCTCCATCGTAGGACATAGGACTTCGAGACAGGACTCTCCGCTGCCTCCTCTCCACCATTTTTCCCAGTACACTGGACACTTTAGAAGAAGCTGTATGACTCTTTGCCTCTCCAGAAGATAATGAGAGAAGACATAGGAACGAATTTTGCAGAACACATTTTCTTAGCCAGCCCCAGAAGAGCAGGTCTCTCCGTGTCTCCACTTCAGTGTGGCACAGAAGCAGGAGACAGTGGCTCTGGCCAGTTCTGGGCCACTGGCTCTGACCTGCACAGACCCACCTCCTGACTTAAGCACAGAATCCCTGACTCCCTTAACGTCAAGGAAACGGTATCAATCATACTGCAAATGTTTGGGCCAGGTTTTCTCCAGGACAGATGTGCAAAGAGTGTTGATTTGTAGGACACGTCCTAGTTTGCCATCAGTGGAGAAGTCCTACCCCTCTCAAAAGAGCCCTATCCCAGGGCAGCTGGTGCAGTATGTTCACTGGTCAGCTAGAGGGGAGATCAAAGCATCTACCACGAAGGGAAAACTAAAGCTCCAAACCACATCCCAGACATAGCTTCAGCCTCATTAGATGCAAAATGCTGGTGAAGAAGAGGAAGATACCTCTGAGCATGAGGCAGCGAGAGCTGAGCACCTGGAAAAGGGACTCTTCTCTCTTGCTCTCTCTAGAGGGAGCTGGAAACCTCCACTCTCTCCAGCCCAACCTTATGTCAACCAAGGGAGGCCACCAGAGACCTGGAGGTTCCCACCTCAGCACTGTCTCCCAAAGGGATTTCTTCTCAAGCACAGGTTCTGATTTCCAGGGCAAACTTCTACAGTTACAGCACTGCAGTAAGATCTGAGTATTAAGACCCAGGTCAAATGAAAAATTAAGCAACAAAAACACTTTAAGATGCAAAGGAAAAAGAAGATGAGGTCAAGGGGAACAACAAGCTTTTAGAAAGCACTCTAAGTTGTTGACAACAAGTACTGAACAACCTTAATAAAGAAAGGGAGGATGTAGAGAAAGGATTCAAGATGCACTTAGACCTTGAGAAATGTCACTAGAAGTCAAGGTCTCTGGGTAGCAAAGTTAAGGAAAACATAACAACATCTAGGTCAGGGTCTTAGCCAACAAAACCAACGGGGGGGCCAGGAAGCACAAAGCTCATCCACCCCTCCCGCAGCAAAGTCAAGCAAAGCAGGGCTTGAAATCCACCTTCCACGTGGGGGAAGGATTTGACGTCCTCCAGACAAAAGAGCTTTTAAAACCATAAGAAAAGAAAACAGCAAGGAGCAAGGAAAATGCTGAAATACTGATTTGAGGAAGGAAGATCTGCGGATCTTAATGCCTGGCCCAAATAACAGCCCCCCAGCCGCGGGGAGGCAGGGATCTGCCGAGCTCAGACACAGCTGGATGAGACACTTTGGAAAGGAGGAGCTGCCTGCAGAGTCATCACAATTGTACGGCACAAGTTTTAAGTGAAATATCTATTTTAACTGACAGGGCTGAGCTCTCCAGACAATTAGAAGCACTCTGCACCTTGTGCCCTGCACAGAAAGCATGCACCTGGGCCCACAACAACAGGCAGGAATGCGAGGCAAAGCTAACAGTATTGATTTTAAAATGGTGTTTTATTAGCTTATCTTATCGGCACAGTTAATATTCAAGAAAATAAGACAAACACATAAAACACTTTGACCTTTGCTATCTGGAAAAATATTTGCTTTTACTCTTTACACACATGACCTACACGCTGCAAATGGTTCACACCAACTGTGAAAAACCCAAGTAATTAGCTGAAAAAAACCCGCCTTGAACTCATCGGAGCTTTTACAGGTGAAAAGTAGGGCCTGGACAGTGAATTTACAGTGATGAAAGGAGAAGTATAATGCAATAAAGGGCACGTTTAAGAAAAAAAAAAAAAAAAACCCAAAACAGAAAGCAGCTGAGTTTTGTTAGCTTTGTTAGGACATGGGCTACTGACTCCCTCCCTCAGGACTTGGGGAACGGCTCCAAGTCAAATGCCATCCTGTTTGTGGCTACAGACGTAATAATTTTCCCTTTTCAGGGAAATCCCTCATTATGAAATCCCGTATGAAAAAGAAGAGAGCTCTGTAGGAAGGGCAAGCCCCTCACGCTGATGCCTGTGCTGCAACTGCCACGGGTACTCATGAAAACAAAAAAACAAAGAGGGCAACACCCTCCTCTGCCTCAAAATCACCTTCCCTCGCCATGCTGCCCATTACTGGTGTTTTATCAAAGACCTACCCCATGAGGAGGAGGATGCAGAGCTAATCAGGCCTCACGGATGGGTCTCGAAACACAATGGTAAGGGCCATGTGGGTACCAGGAGATGAAGGCAGGGGTCTGGTATTGGGTATCTCCAAAATAGTTCTCACACACAAAGGCACCCTCCTTGGAGCCTGGAGCCTCCGAGCAGGAAAACACAGAGGGTTTGTGGCTGTTTCTAATAAAAGACAGTGACGCAGTGGAAAAGACTGCTCGGGGAGGTATGAAGTCTCCATCCCCACAGGTCTTTAAGGACCAAGACCAGCCCTCTGCAGGAATGACACTCCCTAATGCTGTTTTGCCTTGGGGTAGGGTTGGGCTTGGTTCAGGAGCTTCTGACCCAGGGCAGGGACAGCCAAGAGGCTGGAAAGCGGTATCTGCTAGGCTACGTCAGAGCCAAGGCACCCCAACAAGCTCTCCAGATGGGAAATTATGTTCTCATCGTGAGTTTTCTCCCAGGCAAAAGACCTCCCCTATTTCAAAGAAGCTGTCTTGATACTCACCAACGCGTGATCAAACTTAAAAGTACTGATGTAGTAGGCTGGGATGTCGGCTGCAGCCAAAGGCTCAGAAATCTGAGCGACAATTCCACATTCATCTGTGGGGGAGATAAAAAACTCAGTCACTGACTGAAGGGCACCCATCAGTCTTGCAAAACTCCTGGGTCTCGCCAGCTCCGTGCATGTACAGGAAGGAGTTTGTCTTCACAAACTCCAATCAGAAGGGAGCTCTGTGGTAAAACCTGTTCTTTCACACAGAATCAGGCTCTCTGGGCCACAACAATGGATTGCACATTTGATTTTATCGACTTCTTTTTGTTACAGAGAAATATAAATCCCCCAAAGGCACAAAAGATTAGAACTGGAATGATTTTCAGAAGTCCAAAGAAAGGCAATTGGTGACATTCAGGAAGGAAGCATCAAAGACAGTCTCATATACCCTTAACCTCTGTTCTTCTCTTTACTTGTTGCTATTAAACACTTTGCCCTGCATCTCAGAGAGAAGAGATGCTGACCTGCTGGTTGGTCTGGACACAGGGTTGGTTCCCAGACCACAGTCCACCACAGCCCCTGAGACAGGAGTTCACACCTGCTTTAAAAGCTTCATCTCTCCTGTTCATTGCAGATCAACTGCACATCGTTTCCAGACAAAATCTGAGTTTCCCTGTTCCAAACTGAACATTTCAACTTGATTCTGAGCGAACAAATTTAAACAGTGCATATTTAGGGGACTGGCAGGTGTCCTGATGTCCCATCAATGACATGTACCACACCATTTCTATGTATTTTGCCTCTAAGATGCATAAAGAGAAGGTGCATGAAAATCTCCCTCTTGCTCCTTTGGCTTGCCTGGCATAGAAGTAGCAATGAAATAGAAAAAAATTGGCCAAACATTTTTCAGAAATATTCTTGAAGCCTGTGTTTTGTAACTGTTTCAGAGACCATGGGAAGGAGCCCCAGTGTTTTCTGAAAATCAGGCCTTTGTTGTGGTGTCGAGATTGGACTCCTTAAAACTACAGGGGATATAAAAGTAACAAGAACACTTCCGCAGATGTGCAGCATTTACTCCGCATATTTTGCCTCTAAGATGCATAAAGGGAAGCTGCATGAAAATCTCCCTCTTGCTCCTTTGGCTTGTCTGGCACAGAAGTAGCAATGAAGTAGAAAAAATTGGCCAAACATTTTTCAGAAATATTCTTGAAGCCTGTGTTTTGTAACTGTTTCAGAGACCATGGGAAGGAGCCCCAGTGTTTTCTGAAAATCAGGCCTTTGTTGCGGTAGTGAGATTGGACTCCTTAAAACTACAGGGGATATAAAAGTAACAAGAACACTTCCGCAGATGTGCAGCATTTACTCCGTGTTACTTAGGTCCAATATTCTTTTGAGTAGAGAAAATATTTGCAGCACTGGATGTGAAACGGGTCTATGAATAGGTCTCCCACTTGGGCTGCTATAAATCTGTATTAAATCTACTCAAGCCAGAGAGCTGCCCAAGGACTGCACTGGAGTATGACAATGATTTCCAACCTCTGAGTTCAGTGATCTACAGTGCATTCCCATGCCAACTCCTAGTCCACTTTTTAAACAGAGACCCGGCTGTAGCTACCTCCAAAGTCCAGCAGATGAATGCAATTTAGATGGAGCTGTCAAGCATGCAGCGCTTTTAGAAGTATATTTAGAAGTCTGACTTATTAGGCAGGAGTCAGGCTCCTCCTGTTGGAAAATCTCAGCTTGCAAAGTCATGTTAAGCTGCTGCTGGCTCTTAAAAAGCCTCAGATGGATTTTTCCATCATGCTTGAAGGCCCTGAGGCGAGTAAGTACCTGCGCACCAACTGATCCCCCAAATGTTTACCTACCGAAGCCAAGAGGCTGCCCACCAATCCGCACCATCTTCCAGAGTTCACCAGATGCACTTGTAAACAACAAATTATTAGGAAATCTGTAAAAGAAAAGAAACACCAAACGTGGCAATTAAAACACAGCAGCGTGTCAGATCCTGCCTGCGGGGATGCTGCTGCTCCTGCATCCCTGCACTGCTTGAAGTCAGCAATAGCTTCGGCGGCAGCAGCTCGGTGAAGCTGAGAAAACCCCAGGCAGGCGGGATGGATGGACCTGCCTGTCCCTCCAGATGTCCATGGGAAACCAGTGTCTGATGCAGGAAGGCACTCGCAGAGGTATGGGAAAAGATTCCTAAGAAACAGGCCATGCCCCAGCTTTACAAGCATCGAGACCGTTAATCTGAAGGCTTGATTTAAGATGTGTTTAGAAACAGCGAGGGACAGAATATGTTCCACACCTACTCTCTTAGGCATGTGAACCATAGAATCATAGACTGGTTTGGGTTGGAAGGGACCTTAAAGATCATCTAGTTCCAACCCCCCTGCCCTGGGCAGGGACACCTCCCACCAGACCAGGTTGCTCAAGGCCCCATCCAGCCTGGCCTTGAACCCCTCCAGGGATGGGGCAGCCATGACCTGCCTGGGCAACCTGTTCCAGTGTCTCACCACCCAACCACTGGTTTTGTGTCTGAGCACCACCAGTGCTTTTTTCCATACTTCCCTGGGAGGTCCCTAGGATCCCCACAGAGATCCCCATTTCTTAGCAGGGGAAGGGGAGCAGAGGGTGAGAGACGTGCCCAGGGTGGTGCAGGCAGCCCATGAGAGATGGCATTGACCGCCCGGGTTCCCCAAGCACCAGGCTGCTGCTCCAGCCCTCCAGCCTCTCCTGAAGGCAGACAGGTTTACTCCAATTAAAATCGAAGAAACTTTCAAGAGGGCAATTAATAGTTGGCAAAACAAGTCCCTGGGGCAGGCAAGAATCAAACCCAAACACTGCACTGTGTGTCAAAAGCCAATCTCCGCGCTGTATCTCTGCGAAGCCTCCTCCTGTCTACCCTCCAGACCTCAGAGACCTCTGCGAGGCACACACACACAAACAGGCTGGGATGTGCTCCCTGGCTGACTTTCTCCTCTTTCTCCTCGCCAGAACAAACGAGTCATGGGCTCCCGCTGCACAGGGATGACTCAGTACATTATCATCACAAGGAGACTCCGCACCAAGCCCAGCCATGTGGAAAAGCAAAGCGGGAGGACGGCATCACTGACACCCCCACCCTACTTTTGGCCTTTAGCAGTAAAACCTCAGCCACGTACACCAGATTTTTTTGGGCCTTGCTCTTAAAAACACAACTAATGAACAGTGGAATAAAAATGTCAGAATCGCTTTGATCCGGTGTCCCTCCTTCAGAAGGGAGATAACCCTACATTGGCGTGTGATTCCACTGAGGGCTTGGACAGACAAGCCCAAAATTCAGGAGCTGGAACTAACACGCAAGACTTGACCCAGAAAAGTTGCAGGGTGTACAGGCACATGACACCTACACAACGAGGCTCCCAAGAATTAACATGGAGGAGGTCAGGCTGCTCCCTGCTCCTTTGAGAACATCCCAGATGCTTTTTTGGAGGCCAGGAGACCCTAAGAGCAAAGCTCACCTCTGCTGTGTCTGGACATCCATGACCAAGGAGATGTAACCCTCAATGAGAGAAAAGGAGAAAAAGCGAATATGTCCCGAGTCTTCGTTGCCCACCACTGAGTCTTTTACTCTGAAGAAACAGAAGAGAACAGCATTAATTGTGGTTAAAATAACAAAGGAAGGGTTTTAAAACAGATATAGCCAGTGAAATGAGATATGTTCATACATTGACTTAGGGAAGTGACACTGAGTCCTGTCACTTTATACGGAATCACGGAATTGTCAGAGTTGGAAGGGACCTCTAGAGATCATCTGGTCCAACCCCCCTGCTAAAGCAGAAATGCCCAGAGCACATCACTCAGGACTGCAACTAGGTGGGTCTTGAAGATCTCCAGAGAAAGGGACTCCACGATCTCCCTGGGCAGCCTGTTCCAGGGCTCCGTCACCCTCACCCTAAAGAAGTTTTTTCTCATATTTGAATGGAACTTTCTATGTTCCAGCTTGTGCCCGTTGCCCCTCATCCTATCGCTGGAAACCACTGAAAAGAGTCTGGCTCCAACATCCTTCAACTCACCCTTTAGATACTTATAAACATAAATAAGGGCTCCCCTCAGTCTTCGCTTTCCAGGCTAAAGAGCCCCAGCTCCTTGAGCCTTTCCTCGTAAGGGAGGTGCTCCAATCACTTAATTGTGGTTAAAATAACTGAGGAAGGCTTTTAAAGCAGATATAGCCAGTGAAATGAGATATGTTCATACATTGACTTAGGGAAGTGACACTGAGTCCTGTCACTTTATACGGAATCACGGAATTGTCAGAGTTGGAAGGGACCTCTAGAGATCATCTGGTCCAACCCCCCTGCTAAAGCAGAAATGCCCAGAGCACATCACTCAGGACTGCAACTAGGTGGGTCTTGAAGATCTCCAGAGAAAGGGACTCCACGATCTCCCTGGGCAGCCTGTTCCAGGGCTCCGTCACCCTCACCCTAAAGAAGTTTTTTCTCATATTTGAATGGAACTTTCTATGTTCCAGCTTGTGCCCGTTGCCCCTCATCCTATCGCTGGAAACCACTGAAAAGAGTCTGGCTCCAACATCCTTCAACTCACCCTTTAGATACTTATAAACATAAATAAGGTCTCCCCTCAGTCTTCGCTTTCCAGGCTAAAGAGCCCCAGCTCCTTGAGCCCTTCCTCGTAAGGGAGGTACTCCAATCCCTTAATTGTGGTTAAAATAACAGAGGAAGGCTTTTAAAGCAGAAATAGCCAGTGAAATGAGGTATGTTCATACACTGACTTAGGGAAGTGACACTGAGTCCTGTCACATTATAGAGCTTTTCAGTTTTTTGATTTCGAAGGGGCAAAAAATGCCAGTCCCCACAATGGACACAACTCTCCCATCCCTGCCCCAAGGTCCTCTCGCAGGAGGCTGTGGGCCAGGAGCTGCAGGCACCAATGGGCATATGTAGATATGCAGCACATTGACCAAATTACTCCTCTTAGCTCTAATATGAAAAGGCCCAGCTTTCCAAAGCCAATGGATGTCTTTGGGCACCCTCCATCTCCTACTTGGCTTCCACCTGTCAGGACAACCCTCTTGAGCCTGTGAAACCTCCCTCCCCAAGCACAGAGCACCACAGCAGCATGCGGCCACAGCAGATCCCTGGGCATCCTGGAGGAGCAATGTGACTTTGTGCCTCCAGACGCCAGCCACACCTCCCCCAGGAGCCCGTCTCCCCATGGGGACCTACCCATTGGAGTAAAACATGACATCCATTAGGAGTGTAGCAACAGTGGGAAGGGTATCTGGATCCAGGCTGGTGACGCAGAACATATTACTCGGACTGGAAAGGGGATGAATGACAGGCCTCTGAACTGAAAGAGACACACAGACACACACAACTATGAAGCCACCTCTGCAGCAGGTTCATGTCCCACCAGATGTGTTATCCACGCACCGGCAGCAGCCGCAGAGAAAAATGACAGTGTTTGTAAGAAAGCTCCTCATTCCTGAAGCCCTGCTGGTTCTCAGACAAGGACGAGGAGCCTGGGGACAACCTGCTCTTGTGACGTCCTCTCTGGGTGAGATGATCCCCAGTACTCTGTCCTGCATGGTCACCTCCCTGCTTGTAGGGGCTTTCAGGCCATTGGGTGCATCCACATGAGACAAGGGGGAAGGTAAAGGAGGTGGCAACACAAACTGAAAAGGAGAAATAAATTCAGGCTCCCACCATTTAAAATCCAGGGCTATGGAAGGCATTTCTCCAGCTGTGCTGGCAGTACAGCCTCTTTTCCCTCCTTTCTGGGGGCAGAAAGTGCTGAGTGGTACTTCATAATAACTGATCTATGCTTTGTTTGGTTACGGGCACAGAATTACACACAGGTGTGTAGGTAAACATAGGTATTTAAGTAGTTCCTTTTCCTGATTGTGCCCTTTGCTTGATGCCAGTTCCTCTAGACTGGAAACATCCCAGGTACAGCCCTGGGCTGACTGTGGCCTTGATCCTGATGGTACGGAAGTGTGAAAAGTTGAACAACAATATTCTCTGTGCATCAATCACTGAAATACTTAAACAAACTTTTATATAAGGCATTTTCCTTTGAAATGTTGAAACCTGGAAGTACGGGCTACAGATAACGCTGTTTCTGCGACTGAAATGAATTGTAGAACCTTCTGTCCTACAAAAGGCATGTTTTCCCCACAGATGTGAAGCTAGCATTAAAAGGCTCAAATTCAGCAAAGCTCATCAGCATCGCTCAGAAAGTTAAGCACCTACTCAAATTGAACTGGGATACACTCAGGCATGTGTTGAGATAGTTTTTCACCTTACAACAGGACAAACGTTCACCAAGATGTTGAAGGAAGGTCGGTGGCAGACCTTCACCCCCACGGGTCATGGAGACCGACTCCCTGGCAAGCCGAGCCCATTGCTGCTCCTCTCCTTACCCAGTTTTGGTTTGACAAATCCATTTGTTATCCCAAGGTCATCGGCAGCCACCGTCTCCCCGTTCACCACTCTGAGGATGGTGAACTCAGCAGCCAGCGTGTGCATCACGAAGGGCAGGTCTCGCTCACGTACCTGAGGGTGACAACAGGATTAGCCCGTGATGGTGTGCACCGGGAGCGAGAATACACTGCAGAGGAGGTCACGTACTCTCAGGGCACAGAAAAGCAGACACATCACTCCTGCTGGAGCCAGCAGGTGCCTAAGGATAATTATCATCTGGATGTGTGTCTGGAGAAGCACATTTGGTGATACCGCTGCAACTATCAGTAGGATTAAGCATCACAGTGCTTTTAAGACTGTGGAAAGAGTGTGGAGACTTCTAAGAGGGAGATATTTCACCTCTTTTCCAGCATCCCTTCAAGAACTCAACACTCCTCCTTCTTCAGCCTTGTTTCCTAAGGAAACAAAGCTTATGTGGCTGTGCCCTGTATGAGGGCATGCACAGGTGTTGGAGACAGAAAGAAAGTCTGTGTGTCTATCCCCAAAACAACTTTAGAGCCTCTTGGCCATCATCAGCCAACATGACAGCAGACACTATTTTCCTCTAACTCTCAGAAAACCAATGTCTGAGTGACAGTGGGAAATGCTGCCAGTGCCTCCATTAAGGGAGAGACTGCAGTGTGGGCTCAGCACTCTCATTAGACACCAGATAACCCCTGCCAACAAATGCCTCATCCCATGGGAAAAGCTCCTGAGATGTCAGAGAGCCCAACTAGAAGTCACAGAGCTCTGGGGAAAGCAGACTTTGGTACTTCTACTGCTCCTCAAACAACTTGTTCCCAGAAATGAAGCCCAACATAGACGGTACAGAACTCTGGGGAAAGCAGACTTTGGTACTTCTGCTGCTCCTCAAACAACTTGTTCCCAGAAATGTCACTAAAACTGCCCAACTGAGCGTTCATCTGGTGGCAGATGATTCTGCCTGGTCTTCTCATGTCCTCTTACCAGGATGAAATCCGTCTGATAGGTGGAGAGCATGAACACTGAGATGTTTTGGTCAGCTAGAGGTGCTATTACTGACTTGGCAATTTTGGTCACTCCAATGGGCTGGGAGCCGGAGAAGCCACCTCCACCAGACACCACGTTGAGGGCAAGCCATGTCGCATCAGCCACACTCAAGTGTTCCGAGGAAGGGAGCTCTGCAAAGAGACAGAAGGGGAAGACACAGGTTTGTTTTAGAGGCAGAGGAAGCCATGTCCACCATCTGGTCCCTGTGTGGTTAGCACAGACCTCAGTGCAAGGAATGAGGTGAGCCCGCTTATCCAGCCAACCTCCTTGGGCCCCTCATGCTGCTTTGCAGGTTGGTCCTGTGCTGCTTTTTAGATATCAATCACAAATATCACATATTTAGATATGATCACATCCATCAACTTCCACTGCAGGATTCATACAGGTTTTCAAGGACAACACAGGGAATTACACCAGCCTCAGCCATTCACTCGGATGTTGGTGACCAGCCCTGCTGACTTCTCCCTGGGGAAACAGCCTGAGGTCTTTGACTTAACTTGAATCTCCTCTATCACACAATGTCTCCAAATACTTGAGCTTTTCTGGTCTCTTTGGTTTCATTTTTCCTGCCCTAAACCCAAATTTTGGTCTCCTGGACCTGAGATAGAGTTTGACAGAGCAGCGTGAGCACTAGCCCAAGACTTGGGTGGTGCAGAGCAGGTACCTATGGATCTGTGGGCTGCTGCCTCCAATTCTAAAGCAGAAGACAAGAGGCACACAGCTCTGTAAGGGATCAGTGATGTAAAGTATACACTAGAGATTACAAGCTGATCACATACTAAGATAATGGAAATCTTTTTAAGAATAACCCCAGTTCCATTCCATTTGCTTCTAGTCCATTGTCATTAAGCAGTTAAAAATCTTTAAATACATTTAAAGATTTAATACAACTTATTAACTGCCTTAAAGAAACCTCAATGTATTAGCAGCCCGTAAAACCAGACACAGACTCTGGAATGAAGGCACAAACTTCTCCAAGATTCTCTGGACTTTGGATTTTGGTTTGGCGAATTGCAGAAACAAACAGTTCAGATCCAGATCCAGACTTACAAATGCATAATCCCAGTTAAATCTACTTGGCATGAGGAACCCGACCTCAGATGCGGATCCAGCCGGCGAAGACACAGCGGAGGTCCCAGCGGAAACCTATATGCTTTGCTCAGAGGTTAGGAGCAGCCCAGCAATCCGAAAATATAAATCCCAGTGCCGCTGCTCCAGCAGTCAGCCCTGGCACTGTAGACAAGCCACTTCGTGTCTCCATACCCACCTTTCCTTCTCTGTCCACCCACTGCTGGCTCCCCCAAACATATCCTTTCCTTCTCCTTCAGCAAGACCTTCGGGAGCTGTTTCTCTGCAGCTCCAGACACCATGTAATAAATCCATAACCTCACACCCCCCGGCTCCCCAGGCACCGCTGCTGCGAGACAACGGCAGTGCCGGAAACCCAAAAATGAACTGAATAGCAAATACTGTTCGTTTTGCTCTCCTCAATAACCTCAATGGTGTGTGGCATGAAAATAACCCTCAGCAAACAGCCTGCACACAGTGGGGACACTGAGAGTTCTGCCGCTGCATTCTGATGTTTAGCTTCATAGGCCAATGTTTCTTTTTTACTGAATAATCAGAGCTTACACGGAATGAAAACCAGGCACCAGGGAGAGCGGGTAAGTTTGTGCATTAATCAGCAGCATGTTACCTCCGAGAGAGCAGTGCAAGTTGCTTGCAGAAAATTATTGCAGCAAAACACTGTTTTCCAATCAAGACAGCCCTTTGCATCATCAGAAAAGCACCCCCAAAACAAAGCTTACTCCATCAACTGGCAGGGAGAAGCTAGGACTCAAAACAAGAGCTGCTGATCTAATAAGCAGCTGACGTCTTTTTTTTTCCTTTATTCCCACCTCTCCCCTCCTTGCCTGTGAAATAAATAAGAAAAAGGAGAAAAAAAAAAAAAAAAAAAAAAGATGTTCCTTGTTTGGCCATCTATAAAAAAAAAAAAAAAAAAAAAAAAAAAAAAAAAAAAAAAAAGATGTTCCTTGTTTGGCCATCTATTTTCTCCCTGGCAGCAGGGAGCGGGCAGGCGCAGGCGAGGCCACCTGCACGTCATCACTATTTACACTTCCAGCTCCTGCATCCCCGAGCCATTAGAGCAGCCGGGCAAGTAAATCACAGAAAGGTCAAGTGACACCTTTCCTCTCTCCAAACTCATCCTCTCCCCGAGCCTCCAGCAGCCTGGCTGCCCCAGTAACGAACGAGGGATGAGCAGCTCTAGGGGTCCTGTGCTCCTTGGCCAGTCCCACCTACAGCGAGAAGAGATCACAACTCATTTCCCTCTCAATAAACAGAGCAGATGATATTCCTGCTCCATCTGGGTGATGTGGGCCTGGCCGCCGTTCATTAAATACCGGTTTAAATCCTATTTTGGGGTCAGGGATGTGATGGAAGTTGCCATATTTCACGGTGGATGGAGGCATTATAGCATTGCGCTCCGGCAGCAGCGGTGCTGGAGGAGCTGCCCCAAGAAGACCTCCTCAACCTCTTCCTCAAGGGGCAAGGAGGCCGATTTGCTGGTTATATTTCTAATTACAGCAAAGTGTTGATCACGTTTGGTTTCATGCGTTTAACAGGCCCTATGAAGTGTCACAGGGGCCATTGCATTTGCTTAAGTAACCTGCCTCTCATAATTCAATTAACTTCGCAAAAAATATACAGAAAGTGACTGAAATACCGCTTTTGGACGCCATTTCCACTAGGCAGCCAGATGGAAAAGTACAGCCCAAATTTTAATGAAACAAACCCAGGCTAGAGGCTCAACAAATTCAGCGAAATAGCACCAAATAAGCCACGTGGGAAGGTGCTTTGCCCAGGAAGCCGTTAAACGCAGTAAACCCAAGGAGAGCTGAAAACGCCAGACATTAACACTAACGCAGACTCAGTGAGGCAGAATAAGGTAATAAATCAAGAGCAAAATGAGGAATCGCCCATGTTTCAGCACCAACCCATCAAACCCACCATCTCCACCACTTGCCCCCCAGAAGAGCAGAGCTCCTGATGCCCCACAGCTTCACCACCGCAGCATCCCCTGTCCTCGCATGGCGAGACCGGCGCAGAGATTTCTCTGTTGGGCTCCCAACATCCTCTCGCTACTGGTTTATCAGTGTGCAGGTCACTCCCACTTCTGATCACAGAGGACACCACATCTCTGCCTGACCTCTAAGGGGAGAGAGACTTGGGCTTTCTTTACTAGAATCAGGGTCTTTGTTTTGAGTGTGCACTGGGGTGAAGCCCCAATTTTTGTGGTTTTGCTGTATAACATCTGCAGATCTGACGCCAGGAGCAGGCACCCAGGAGTGGTTCAGCTTCTTGCAGGCTCCGTAGCCATCACCACAACCATCACTGAGAAGCAGAGGAGGGTCACAGACTCCTTAGCTGGCATGGAACCCCACCAACAAGGTGTGGTCATCCTGACAGCCCAAGCACAGCCCTTCATCTCATGTATGGTGTCTCCTGGCAGTGCAGCACTAGGTACCAATGGCTGGTGGGCTCCAGCAGCTCGTGGTAGTGCTCTCCATGGGCACAGCAGCTTCTCTCATCTGAAATTCTCCCCACAGCATGGAATCTGTGCCATGGAAGCAGTGCCATCAAGCAGACAGACAGACACAGCTCCTCCAAGGGAGACACTAAATAAATGCCAATCCCTGCTCAAACCAAACCCAACAAACACATGTCAAATAAGGTTTACAGCATGAATTAACCAGCTTATTCACACCACGGGTGATTTAAAAGGCCAGAGGTCTGTCTGGAGCCTCACTGGCCCATTTGGTAGGAAGAGATGAAGCGGAGCAGCCTCCGTGGCAGACGTCATTCTGGGATGTGAGGTGGCAAGTATCATATCGGCCATAATTGGCTCCTGAGTTCAAGTAATCAATACCATTTCCAGTGAGGACAACAAACGTTGGCCGAAACCCAAACAGGGACTGAATTGCTGCTGCCGGAGCGCTACAGGACGCTGTAAGCACCGTGAGCTGGTGCTGCTCCACGCCGCACTCTAAAAATACCTTCGGGAGGATGCCAGCCAGATGATGGGTCTTTGCAAGCAGCCAAAGTGGCCACAGCAAGCAGGGAAGGAAATTCTCCTGGTTTACAGCCCTGACCGAAGAGTCAGAGGGACGGTGTGGGTCTACATAACGGTGGAAAAACCAGAAACATTTTTCTGCCTCTGTTTTCCACCCCGGGGACCCCTCAGCCTCATGTACCCCATATGGCTGGAGGGAAAGCACTGGGAGAGAGTCCTCCTGCTCTGCAGGAGTGCTGGAAAATGTGCAAGATGCTCTGAGGAAGTGCAACAGCACCAGAGCTTCTTCCCCCTTTCTGTACCCAATTGAAATGCATTCTAATTTCTCATAAGAAAGGGGAGATAACTGGAAAATCATAGAATCATAGAATCATATGGGGTTGGAAGGGACCTCTGGAGATCATCTAGTCCAACTCCCCCACCGAAGTGGGTCTACCTAGAGCAGGTTGCACAGGAACATGTCCAGGCAGTTTTTGAATGTCTCCATAGAAGGAGACTCCACCATCTCCCTGGGCAGCCTGTTCCAGTGCTCTACCACTCTCACAGTATAGAAGTTCCTCCTCATGTTTAGGTGGAACTTCTTATACTCAAGTTTGTGCCCATTTCCTCTTGTCCTGTCACTGGGCACCATTGAGAAAAGACCAGCTCCGTCTTCCTGACTCCCTCCCTTTAAGTATTTATAAGCATTGATCAGATCCCCCCTCAGCCTTCTCTTCTCAAGACTAAACAGACCCAAGTCCCTCAGCCTCTCCTCGTAAGAGAGATACTCCAGGCCCCCCATCATCTTTGTGGCCCTCTGCTGTACCCTCTCCAGTAGTTGCCTGTCCTTCTTGAACTGGGGAGCCCAGAACTGGACACAGTGCTCCAGATGGGGCCTCCCCAGGGCAGAGCAGAGGGGCAGGATGACCTCCCTTGGCCTGCTGGCCTCCTCCTCCTTCCCTGATCTCCTCCTCCGAAATTCTCCCTCAGCCCTGACACTTTCTCTGGAAAGAGCCAGAGGCTATTCCTAACCTTCCTTCTCTCATCAAAGTGCTTGAGAAATCAGCTTGCTTCCATCTG